TCCTCCCCGTGCCCCCCAGCCCTCTCCCCTGCTGCCCTGGCACCCGTGGGGGCAGAGGGGCCGGGTTTTAGCCCTGCCCATCCCCAGAGAAGGCTGCCAGGGCTCTCTGCCCCATGCCAGGGCAGGCAGCAGGCAGGGGATGGTGCAGCTGGAGCCGTGACAGGAGCCCTGGCAGGACAGGAGCCCTTTGTGCGTGGCAGCAGCTGTCACCCAGACGTGACAGATGCCAGCACGGTGCCACCGGCTTGGTGGCAGCTTTATTTTTAAAGTTGGATGGGAGATGAGGTGGCACAGAGTGGCCTCGGGCTCAGCTCCATGGCTCCTTCCTGAGCATGGGCTGGGCAGATCCCCAAAATAATAATTTTCAGTAGGAGCCTCTGGATCGCTTCCCTTTCCACATTTTTTTAGCCAACACTGCCATGAATTTCCACTGTGAAAATGAAGTGGCTTTGCACAAACGTGGATCTGCTTAGCCCAGATCCTTTTCCTGCAGGAAAAGGGAATTTCTTGGCAGGCAGAGAGCACCAGAACACTCCCAGTTCGGGGATGACTGGGTTTTCCCAAATCCTGAGCGTTTTTCCTTCAGAAATCCTGGTGCTTCCCTGTGGAGGAATTCCCTCTGTTCAGTTCTCTGTGCCAGGTTTGGGTGTCTGGTGTGGCCCAGCCTTGCTGGAAGCGAGGTTTGTGCCTGGTTTTGGTGTCCCAGCTTTGTTAGGAGTGAGGTTTGTGCCTGGTTTTGGTGTCCCAGCTTTGTTGAACCAGGTTTGTGCCTGGTTTTGGTGTCCCAGCTTTGTTAGCAGTGAGGTTTGTGCCGTGCATGGACAGGTTGGGATCCATTGAGGTTCTCAGGGAATTCCTGCCCTGAAGGGGAGCCAGGATCCCTCAAATTCCCCATGGGCACCTCGGAGGTGACAAGGACCGAGTCCCACCCTCAGCCATTCCTCTCCTGGCCATCTCCCCCTCCCAAAATCCGCCGTGGTGATGCTGGGGCAGCTCCTCGCCCCTTCCCCACTCGCCCAATCCCCTTTTTTCCGTCATTTCCCAGATACTGAGTTCCTGCCGCCGCATCCCGGAGAATCACAAGGAACAGCAACAAGCACCCGAGTCTTTCTCAACTACTGTACAGGATGAAACCGTGCAAGCTTCCCACGCTAGAGCCGGGCTTGCTGCCATAGTCCACAGTGTGTTTTAGGTTATTTATTTATTAAATTAGAATACTGTTCATGTGGCCTCTGCCACTGGTGTTCGTCCTGCCGCGGGACTGGGAGACGCTGGATTTTTCTTTCCGTTCCTTTCTTTTTTTTCTCTCTCTTTGGGTTCGTTCTTTTTCGGGGCTGGGAGGACGGGGAAGGCGAGGAGGAAGCTGCTGGAATCGAGCCGTGGAATATTCCCTTATCCCTGCTCATCCCCCGCGCACAAGGGCGGGACCCGGCCTGGGAGCCGCTTTTGGTTTCCTCCACCCCCCAGCGCTCCTCCAGCGGCACCGGATCCTGGAGAGCTTTGACAACGCAGCCAAAAATCCTCCAGGCGCTGCCGCCCAGCCGGGAACCGCCTCGGGAACCTTGGCTGGAGAAGCCTCTCGGTGTGCCCTGGAAGTGCCCGGGGCCGTGCCCAGCCGGGGAATTTGGCCTTAGCCCTGCCCGGGGCTGTGCCCGGGGGTCGGCAGCGGGGAGAGAGCCCCGAGCGCAGGGAGAGGAGCGGGCACAGCCCCCCTGGGCTCGGCCTCCCTGGGCTCGGCTCCCCCGGGCTCGGCTCCCCCGGGCTCGGCTCCCCCGGGCTCGGCCCCGCGGGTTTCCTGCTGCTGTCGTTCCGAGTGCCAACCTCTCTCTCCGCGTGTACCAAAGTGTTGCCGGCGGGGCTGGAAGGGCCTCGCCCACCGATGCTGCTCAAGCGCCCGGCGGCTCCTCCACGCCAAGCGGAGCTCGCCGGCCGCCCGGCTGGGAGGAGCCGGGTCCTCCTCCTCCTCCTCCAGCTGAATTTCAGTCCTCATTTGGAAACGTTCGGAGGTTTTTGTTTTTTTTAATTTTCTGGTCGTATTTGTATGAATTCCGGAAATGCCCTTTGGAATGTATGAGACGTCCCGCCGGAGTGACCCCCACGGATCCTGTGCGAGGGGAGAGTTCAGCATCACTAAAAACCCTTTGGTCACCTCGAATCTCGATGTGTCAGAGCTGATGGAGAATAAATTAGTCAGAGTTTTATGCCAGGATGTCCCACGTGAGCACAGGACAGCGTGACCCTTACCAAGGTGACTTCCCAAGTGCCGGTGTCAACCCTTCCACAAGGAAACTGCCCAGCCCCGGGAGCACTGAAGCCTTTGGCCTCCCCGTTTGCTTCCCGAGTTTTCCATCGGCTGCAGATCCGTGTTTTGTCCTCCTGGGCCTCTTTGCCATCGTGGAGAACTTTTTTGTGGCAGCTCGTTCACGCACAAGGAAGGGGAAATGGAGGAATTTTGGCCTCGAGTCCTTCCCGTGGCTCTCAGGAGATTTGGAGTCAGGTTGGCCACGAGTTTGCTGCTGGCTTAGTCCAGGCTTCTCTTTGAAATCTCTCAAAATCAGGAAGGAAAACCTTGAGAAGACTTTGAGGAAACCTTGAAGGAACCTCGAGGAGACCCTGGGAAGGCGTCAGGGCTTGGAGAAGGCCTCGAGGAGACCTCCAGGCTTCCAGAAGCTTCCACGTAGACTGATGGCTAACCACAGACTTGAAATGATCTCTGCTCCTTCATTTTACCCAAATTCTCAGATTTTTGGGGGGGAGACATCACCCCCAGGTCTTTCTCCCCGAGCTGGATCCTGGTCTGTGCCAGCCCCCGCTGTTCTCTGGGAATGTGGGAGCTGCTCCCTCATCCCAGTGGGGTCACTGGGCCAGAGCAGCTTCGGGAGGAACAGGAATCCCATCCCAACCCAAGCACAGCCATTCATTCCCCCTGGAAAAGCCCCTTTTATCCCCACCCCTCAGCCCCAGAGCCGAGTCCCGCCCTGTGCCTGCTCTGCACAGCCCCGGATCCCTTCCTGCCCTGTTCTAACCCCCTTTTATCTTTCAGGTAGATAGGAAGGGAAAAAAATATATATATATTAATACTAAAATCCCAACTGGCTTTTCCCACCTCGATTTTTAAAGCTCTTCTCCATGTTCTGCTTCTCCTGTAAAAGCTTTTTGGCTCGCTTGGCTTTTTTCCTAATCAACCTGGAATCATATCCTATGATCATCTCTAAATTAAACGTGTAATGGGGTTTGGTTTCTTTTCTCTTTTTTGGGGTTTTATTTTCTAAATGTAACACATTTTTCAAGACTTAGGTAAAAGGAGATTTTAGGTAACACCAGCAAAATCATATAAAGGAAATTAATTCTGTTCTGAACTTTAGAGATAATAAGACAAAACCTGTCATCAGCAGTGAGGAAACGAAAACGTCGCAACCGTAACATTTCAAAAGGATGTTTTAAATATTAATGTCTGAGTGATTGTATTAGATCAGCAATAAAGACTCTGTAATCTCAAAACAAATAAAACATTGGAAAACTCAGCCTCTCCCGAGCGTCCTTGGGGTCAGGCGGGGGCAGCGCGGGATTGTGGGGCGGGGGGGGGACAAGGAGGGATCGGGGATGGGATGGGATGGGATAATGGGATGGGATGGGATGGGATGGGATAATGGGATGGGATGGGAGGGTTGTCCCCAGAGCCGGAGCCTTGAGCTCCTGCCGTGTCCTGATAATTCCAGCTGGGGAAGCAGCTCCGGGGCCGCGTCCTTGGAGCTGTTTGGGCTCCTGGGCTGGTGTGTCCTTGGAACCACCCCGATCCCGTTATGTGCCCCGGATCAATCCCGTTATCTCCTCCGGGACAATCCCGTTATCTGCTCCGGAACGATCCCGTTATCTCCTCTGGAATAATCCCGTTATCTGCCCCGGATCAATCCCGTTATCCCCTCCGGGACAATCCCGTTATCTGCCCCGGATCAATCCCGTTATCCCCTCCGGGACAATCCCGTTATCTGTTCCGAATCAACCCCGTTATCCGCTCTGCTCCCGCCCTGTCACAGCCCCGCTGCACCCTGCTGCCGCCCCAAGGACACCCCATAACCCCCCAGCATTCCCTGTTCCCAGCACCCCAGGGACACCCCATAACCCCCCCACATTCCCTGTTCCCAGCACCCCANGGACACCCCATAACCCCCCCACATTCCCTGTTCCCAGCACCCCAAGGACACCCCATAACCCCCCAGCATTCCCTGTTCCCAGCACCCCAAGGACACCCCATAACCCCCCAGCATTCCCTGTTCCCAGCACCCCGGGGACACCCCATAACCCCCCAGCATTCCCAGGATCACCCCCATCCCCTCAAGCCCCCCCCATTCCGGGGGACCCCCGGCTTTCCCCGCATTCCCACCCCGTTACCACAGGCCCCGCCCACCCCTCTGAGAACCAATGGCCGCGCGGGGGTGTGTCCTGAGGCCACGCCCCCGCTCCCGGCGGACCAATGGGCGTGGCGGGGGCGTGGCCGGGCCCGTCCCCCACGTGCTGGCGGTGGCCGCGGGATGGAGGCGGCGGGAGGTGGCGGAGCCGCGGCCCCGGGCAGGGCCCGGCCGGGACAGCCACAGCAACAACCCCAACCACAACCCCAGCCACAACCACAACCCCAGGCACAGCCCAAGGGCCGGGAGCTCTTCAGGAGCCAGCGGAAGGAGTCCGAGGTAAGAGCGCGGAGCTCGGTGCCGGCACCCCCCGGGCTCCGACGGGACCTGCTATGGCGTACGGGGTCCCTGCTCCGGAGTTGGGGTTCCTGCGGAAGGAGCCTTATCCAGGGAGCCTTATCCTTATCCTGGGGGAGCTCCCGGTCTTGGCGGTTCTCCCTACCCCAAACTGGACGCTTTCGGGGTTCTGCAGGGGTGGCTTTAGAGTCCTGCCATGCCAGACCCAGCTGCAGAGTTTTGGGGTGCTGGCTCAGCCTCAGCACTGCCACCTCCCAGCCCCACGCCCAGACCCAGCTGCAGAGTTTTGGGGACCCACCTGGGCCCTGGGCTCCCCCACACGCTGCAGGCCCCTCATCAAGATCCGGGTGTCGCAGTCCCCTCCACCCCCTGCACCCCTCCTGCCCCAAAACCCCGGGCCACGGGGGAACCACCAAGCCCCACTGGGCTGCTCTGCCCCAGCTGCGCCCGTGCTGCTTCGTGGGTGCCAGGCTGGGCAAGCAGGTCCGGGATCGGGTCACCGGGATCCCACCCTAAAGCCACGGCGGGACCCCCGAGAGCAAAGGACGGGAACACTTCGCTTTCCCACCAAGGAGCTGCGGGTGGAGGGGCTCCCTCACCCCAGAAGTGTCCCTGGGAACGGTGTCCAAGTCGTGAATTTGGGGTTGGCTTTGCTCCCCTGGCTCGGTCTCTCGAAGCGGATTAGGGCCGCACGCGCTTCTCCGAATTCCTCAGCGGCTTTAAGTCCCCGAGCCGCTCTGGGCTGCAGGAATTGGGTGAAAAACCAGCGTTTCTGAGCAGGTCGGGCTGAGCCCAGAGCCGCGCATCCTCCTGGGTCATCAATATTAATCACGGAGATGCGCATCAGTTCCAGCCCGGCTGCCGAGGACGGATGCTGAGACTCGGCGTGGGGAATTATGTTAATTGCCTTGATTAGCCATTGATGTGTTTGTTCCCTTTGGCGGGGCGGGGGTGCCGGCCTTGGGTCGTGTGGCTGCGGCTGCCTGCTCGCTGCCCCGCCGGAATCCTCCGGCCAAGTTTCATGCTCCAGTTCCTCATCTGCAGGGGAGGAGGGGGAGATGAGGGAGGCAAAGCCCGGCCCCGAGAGCTGTCAGATCTGCGGTGCTGAGCACGGAGCTCAGGGATCCGCAGCATCCTCCCAGGGTTTGTTTTTTTTTTTTCCTTTGAACCAGCCCCGGGGTTTGTTTTTAGGGCGTGAGAGGCTTTAAAATGCATCAGATATTCATCGGCATTTTGTGTCGTGTTTTTGCTTTTCCTGGGATTTGAGAAACGCTGGTTTTACACACGGTTTCCACATTTTCGCTGTATTTTAAGCGGCCTCGCACGGACTCCCCGCTCCAGCCCGGGAGACCCATCCGTGCGAGTCGCTGCTCCGGCGGCTGGAGGAGCTTTGGCGCAAAGGCTGCGAGTGCTGGCAGCCATCCCGCATCCCAAAATATCCCCAGGGATGTGCCAGCCCCCTCCTAACCCCATCCCGCTCTCCGCAGGGCTCCGTGGATTGTCCCAACCTAGAATTTGAGTACGGAGATGCCGACGGCCACGGCGCTGAGCTGGCAGGTGAAGCGGGTTTTGGGTGCTGCATTGTTATTTATAGGTACCCGGCAGGCAAGAAAAATGAAAATCCCGCCGGGATGGAGGATGGATATTGAGTGGTGTCATCCCTGCAGTAACACAGCGAGCGGGGTTTATTATTAGAGAGCCGCTCAGCCCCTGGGGACGCAGAAGGGACGCGTGGGGACACGGGGGTGTCCCCGCCATCCCAATTAGCCGGGGGACAACGCCGGGGGTGGGTGGCAGGAGGGCGGAGTGTCCGGTGACACAGGCCAGGCGGGAGGTGTCACCCTTTATCGGGCGGGTCGTGTCCTTGTCCCCTGCGTTCCTGCTGTGCTCCAGCGGCTTCTGCTCCCTAACCCCGCGGTCCCCGGCGGGTCCGCAGAAAATGGGATTATTTTTAGCTCCGTCTATCTCAGCTGCACGAGCTGGCCCGGCAAAAACACATTTCCTCTGCAAAGGGATCCTTCCTCCTTCCCTGCAGGATCACTTCAGCCCTCCGTGGTGCTGCTCAGCACCTCAGGACTGTAGGGGTTCTATAGGAACTGGTAGGAATTCTATAGGAATAGGTGCAGCACCGTGTCCCTCAACAAGTCCAGCCCCTTTTTGCAGGACCCAAAATGTCCGAGCTGCTGGGCGTGGGATCAGTGCAGGTCCTGCCTGGGTGTTCTTGCCTTCCCTTCATTCCCAAACTGCTTAAGTGAGACTTCAAATGTCCCCTCAAAAACCCCAATGAAATTGCAAATGCAGCTGGAGCAGGAGCTGGGAACAGCCCAGCCAGACACGGGGATGAAGGTGATGATGAACTTTCATTCATCATGAATTTGGTGAATTCATTTGGTGAACGAGGACCAGTGAATTTGGCCATTGGGTGGCCACAAGGTGCCCTTGGAGCTGCAGGAGAGCTCAGGGACCAGTTGAGGTCCCTGTCCCATGTCTGCCTGGCTGCACAGGGATGCTTCCCAAGGAATTTGGGAATGAGGAGGAGGAGGAGGAGGGTGAAGCCCTTCCCCTGTCTGATCCCCGTCTCCATCAGAGCTCTACAGCTACACCGAGGAGCCTGAGCTGAGCCACAACAGGAGATGCTTCGAGGAGGATTTTCACACTCAAGGTAGCAGCTCTGGCCTCAGCACCCCAGGGCTTGGGGCACGAGCGGGACCCCCAGGGAAGCCCCAGGCTGGAGGTCGTGTCCCTTTTGCAGTGCCCGACAGGAGGTGGCTGGAGCTGGCCAGGGCTCAGCAGAAGGCCTATGTCATGCACCTGCTGGATGGGCTGGAGGTGGTCAACAGGGACAAGAGGCTCCGAGTGGCACGGGCCATCCTGTACCTGGCACAGGGTAAGGACGTGTCCCTCATGGTTGGATGTGGCCGTGGATCCACTGCTGTGGGGCTTTGGGAGAAGCTTTTCCCGGAGCTGGTGCAGTGAAGCTCCTGCCTGGGGTGGTCCTGTGGACAGCAGGGGTTCAAAGGCAGATCCTCCCTCACCGGTGTTGCTCTTTGGGGACTCTGCAGGTGTGTTTGGGGACTGTGATAATGAAGGTGATGTCCTGCATTGGTCTCGGCACAACTGCTTCCTCCTGTACCAGCTGGGAACCTTCTCTGCCTTCCTGGAGCTTCTCAACATGGAGATTGAGTGAGAGGATGTGCTGCCCTCACCCACCTCTCTTTGTCCTCTTCATTCTTTCTTCTCGTCCCTCCACTTCTTGGACTCGATGACCTTGGAGGTCTTTCCCAACCAAAATGATTCTGTGATTCTATGATCTCACATTCAATTTGCTCTCCTCCTCTTCATCTTCTTCCCTGCTTTCCTCACCTTCTCCTTCCGTCCTCCTCTTTCTCTTCTGCCTCCTCTTTCTCCTTATCCTCTCACCTTCCTCCGTTTCATCTTCCTCTTCCTTACCCTTTTCCTCTTCATCTTCTTTTCTTCTCATCTTCCTCCTCTTCATCTTTGTTCTCATCCTTCTTCCTTTTATCTTCCTTCCCCTTATCTTCTTCACCCTTATCTCCTCATCCTCCTCCTCGTCATCTTTCACCCCATCTTCCCCACACTCTTCTTCAATCCTCCTCACCCTCCTCTTCATCTTTTCTCCTCTTCTTCATCCTTTTCCTCTTCATCTTCTTTCTTCTCATCCTCCTCCTCTTCCTTTCTCCTCATCCTTCTCACCTCCCTCCTTTTCATCGTCCTTCTCCCTTATCTCTTCATTTTCTTTCACGCCATCCTCCTCACCCTTTTCATCTTCTTCCTTCTCTTCATCTTTCTCCTCATCCTTCCTCCTTTTCATCTTCCTTCCCCATATCTTCCCCACCTTTATCTCCTCATCCTCCTCCTCTTCATGTTCTCTCTCCTCACCCTCCTCCTCCTCCTCGGGAGGTGCCACAGCCGTGTCACATCCCCGGCTGTGGCATTCCCAGATGAGGGGGCTGGCTCAGATCTCGTTTCTGTCCTGCAGGAACAGCCAGGCCTGCAGCAGTGCCCTGAGGAAGCCAGCCATCTCCCTGGCTGACAGCACGGAGCTCAGGTAGCCCTGGGAGCTGGGAGGGCTGGGGGACAACCTTTGGGGACAGAGCGACCTCCCAGCTGTGCTGTCCCTGCAGGGTCCTGCTCAGTGTCATGTACCTGATGGTGGAGAACATCCGTGTGGAGCAGGAGACGGATCCCCCGGAGTGGAAAACGTGCCGGGAGACCTTCAGGACGGAGCTGAGTGAGCCCCAAAGTTCACTGTGCCCTGTCCAGGTCCCTTTGTCGTGCTGGGGTGGGGATGAGCCATCTCTGACCCCTGTCCTGTTCCCTTCTGCCCCAGGTTTCCCCGTGCACACTGAGGAGCCCTTTGCTCTGCTGCTCTTCACCATGGTGACCAAGTTCTGCAGTGGCCACGCTCCACACTTCCCCATGAAGAAGGTTCTGCTCCTGCTCTGGAAGGTGCTCCTGGTGAGTGCAAACCCAGCCTGGCTCCAGAAACTTCTATTGTGGAACAGTGCTGCTGCAGCCTGGCCCTTCCCCACCATTCAGCCCAACCACAGTGGGCTTATTTAACACAAGGCAGGCAGCTCCTTCTGGGGTGAGGGATCTGTGCCCTGGTGCCTTCACCCTCGGCTCTCCCCGTGACCGGGGGTGCCCGGGGGGGGGGCTCTGTGCTCTCCCCTCTCTCTCTGTCCGTGCCCAGTTGACGCTGGGCGGGTTCGAGGCGCTGCAGGCCATGAAGGTTCGGCGGCGGGAGGAGCTGGGGCTGCCGCCCCTGCCCGAGGACAGCATCCAGGTGGTGCGGGGGATGCGCGCCGCCTCCCCGCCCACCTACGCCATCGAGCTGGTGGAGCAGCAGCAGCAGCAGCAGAAGCCGCGGGGCCACCGCAGCCGCAGGGTGAGAGCCACAGCGTCCCCCTGGGCCGGGAGGGGTTTCCAGCAGAGCCCGGGAGTGCTCCGGGTGATGGTTCCTATTCCCCACCAAGTGCTGCGGGGTTTTCCAGCTCTACGCTCATGGAATGGTTTGGGTTGGAAGGGACCTTAAGGACCAGGCAGCTCCAAATGACACTTTCCATTGGATCGGGTTTCTCACAGCTCAGTCCAAGCTGGCCTTGGGCACTCCCAGGGATCCAGGGGCAGCCACAGCTGCTCTGGGAATTCCATTCCAGCTCCTCCCCACCCTCCCAGCCAGCAATTCCTTCCCCAGATCCCAGCCAGCCCTGCCCTCTGGCAGTGGGAGCCATTCCCTGTGTGCTGTCCCTCCTTGTCCCCAGTCCCTCTCCAGCTCTCCTGGAGCCCCTCCAGGCCCTGCCAGGGGCTCGGAGCTCTCCCTGGATCCTTCTCCTGTCCAGGCGAGCACCCCCAGCTCTCCCAGCCTGGATCCCTGGGAACTGAGGGGCTCCAGCCCTGGAGCAGCTCCAGGTGCTGCTGCAGTGTCCCCAGGGCAGCACCGCAGGTGGGGTCTCACCTGAACACAGGGGCAGAATCCCCCCTCCCCTTCTGCCCACACTGTGGGATCAGCCCAGGGCTGGAGGGGTTTTTTGGGCTCTCAGTACATGTGGTCATCCACGTTGTTCATCCACCAATTTCAGTTGCAACAGATCAGCCCCAGGGGGTGTTTGATGCAGAGGAAGCCAGAGGACATCCTGACCTTATGGCAAAGGGCTGATAAGCACCAGGGAGCAAACTGCTCACAGCAAGGTCTTTTTATAGCTCTGCTCTTGGAGTTGCTGTGTTATGGTCTGAGGAGGAAAATGCCTTTTGCTAAGGAAGAGATGTCGGATGGAAGCCCCAAAAGTTAAGGTGGAAAATGGGGTCACACTTCCTAGAGCAGCAAGGTTAGAGGTACAGGAGGAATTATTCTTGGGCTTTGGTGGCAACAGCTAGGAGGGAAATCTTTACCTGAAGAACATCTGAGAGCTTGATCCTTTCACGATGGAGAGATCTGGTGCCAGCACCTGAGAAGGAAATAAAATCCTTGAAGTGACTTGAATTTTCCTTCCCCTTCTGCTGCAGCCCCTGATGAAGCAAGACAGTTTGGATATCTACAACGAGAGAGATCCCTTCAAGAACGATGAAGGAGGGGTTGATGAAGAGGAGAATGATGATGTGGACAGTGGCATCATCGAGGGGGAGCTGGACCTGATGGAGCGGGACACGCTCATCCCGGCCATGCCAGCCCAGCGCCTGCCCATCGAGAGGGTGTCCTTCCCCAAGGGGCTCCCCTGGGCCCCCAAAGTCAGGTAAAGACACCTGCTGGCACCAGCCCTACCTGTCCTGCTGCTCACTGCAGTTTTTGGGGAAGTTTTTTGGCCTCTGGCAGGTTGAGCTGAAGTGACTCCACTTGTTTTTTTGTCGGGGTTGGTCCTTTCTGGATTGGCCACTTGTCATGTTTGGTGTGTAAATCCTGGGGAGGAGCTCAGCTAAACCCAGCCCAAGCCAATAAATGGTGATCCAGTTTTGGATATGCCAGGTTGTACTGGGAAAGAAGCTGTGCTGGGATGCTATGGGAGCAGGGTCAGTTTTCCCAACCAAATCCCAGTGGATCTTGGCAGCACAAAGTCCTTGACTAATCAAGGACTTCGATAGTCCTTGACTGAGCTGGTTCATGACATCTTCTTGGGTTGAGCAGGAGCCCTGTGTTGCTGAGTGAAGCCTTTTATAGTGGCAGAAAAAAACATCTAAGGATAAAGGAGTTGGTGCCTTTCCTTCCTAAGACAGTTACTCACACAGGAAATAAGGGAATGTTAGGAGAAGAGAGTGAAAATCTCTGCCCCTTTCCATCTGATCCATGTAAAGGTTTGGTTTTTTTGCTGTTTATCCCAAGCCTGGATTTAATCCAGCATCTCTAAAACACAGGAGACAGGAGCAGTGACAGGGTTCAGTCTGTCTGTCCAGAGCATTCCTAGCAGAACCACAGCAGGAATTTGCTCCCCACACGGATCTCCATGGTGGTGCTGTGGTGCTCCACGTCACTTACCACTCTGAGCTTTGGAATCAACTGGCTGCTGCTTTCCTTGGCTGCTGGCTGGCAATCCAGCTGGATTCCTTTCTGTCCAGGAGAACCTTGGCTCACAGCTCATGTCCTGCTCGTGGCACAGAGATGCTGAGCAGTTCCCATGAAGGATGCCCAAGGTGGACAAGATGTCAGCTTGCTGTTGGAGCAGTGTGTGTGCTCTGACAGACTGTGGAGATGACATTTGTTCTCTCAGAGTGAGCAGATGCTCCTTGGAGCTGCGTGTGAGGAGCACAGGAGGTGGATACAAAAGGTGCTGGGGGTAGGAAACTCCTCTCTGTCTGCTCACACGTTCCCATGGAGTTGCACAGCAAATACAAATGGTTTAGGTTCACGTTGCCCCCAGCCATTGAGGGCAAAGGTGGCTTTTGCCCTCTGCTGTTGAGATCTCTAGGAATCAGTCTGGGGTTGTGATCTTGTACATGGCTGTTTTCCAACCTTCTCCTTGTTTTTGTGTCTGTGCTGCTCCATCAGACAGAAAGACATCGAGCATTTCCTGGAAGCAAGCAGGAACAAATTCATCGGATTCACACTGGGACAGTGAGTGTTTTACCCACAAAATCTGCCCTGGAGCTTCCATCAGTGGGAGTTCAGTGGTGGGAGGTGTTCACAAAGCTCAGGTTTTCCCAGCTCAAGACATGCTGAGGATGAGGCAGTGCTGGGTTTGCCAGAGCTGCAGCAATGAAAGCAGTGCTGGAAAAACATGTTCCTGGAGACACTGCTCCCCAGGGACCTCTTTCTAGTCAAAATCTGACCTAGCCCAGAATAAGTGACCGCTGGCCCAAGCCAGGAACTGGTTTGATGTGAAAGGCAGCTGAGACAGTTTGGTATCCACAGCAAATTTTGTGGATAAATCAAGCTGTGGGTGCAGGGGACAGGCCCAGCAGGGTACATTCATTTTTAGGTGCAGTGCTGGGCTCAGACTGGCTCCACCCTATTTCTGATTTCCTTTGATTTCACCCCAATTCTGATTCAATCTGATTTCACCCCAATGTGTCTCCTCTCTCGTGCAGGCATGGTGGGGAAGAGGTGGGAGGGCAGCAGCTCACACCAACACCTCTCCCAATTCCTGACCCACTTGGGATGCATTCAGCAGACTCCAGGCTCCCTCTTTTACCTGTCATGACATGGAAATGTTTGAACATGAACATCCTTCCCAGTGCTGAGCTTCTTTCCTCTTCCCCAGGGACACTGAAACCCTGATAGGGCTCCCACGGCCGATCCACGAGAGCGTGAAGACCCTGAAGCAGGTGAGATGGTGGCTCCATGCATGGCATGGGATGTTCTCCACGTGGATCCTCCTGGCTTGGGATGTTCACATGGATCCTCCTGGCCAACCTCACAGAAACACAGGGAGAAAAAAAGTTGGTTGTCACAGGAAAAGCTTTTGGAGTTTCTCACAGGAATTGAGGCAAAAAAAATTAAAAGCTGAGTCCTCAAGTAGCCTCTCCAGCATTTTCCCTTTGTCCAAGGTGCATTTCTGCTTCCTGGTGAGTGTCTGCCATGTGTTTTGAAGGTGACAGACTTCCAGAGCTGGGTTTGGACATACATTCCCAAACCACTGCTGTTCCCAGGGGGAAGCACAGCCAGCCTCAGCTCCTGCAGGGAATGAGACCCCTCCAGAGACCAAGTGACCCTATCTAAGGTCTGGGTTGTGTTTTGGAGGTGATTGTCCCTCTAATTCCTTACAGAGAGCTCCTAGAAGGAAGTAACCAAAGGCAGGAGGTGTGAGGGGCTTCAGGAGCAGAGGGATGTCCCACACAGGGGTGGGTTCCTGGCTCTGCTGTGACCTGCACACCTCACTGGGCTGTTGCTGTGACCAGCACTGGCCGTGTTGCTCCTTCAGCTGTGACACTGCTCTGCCTCTGTCTGTGTGTTTTGCCAGCACAAGTACATTTCCATCTCAGATGTCCAGATCAAGAATGAGGAGGAGCTGGAGAAGTGCCCCATGTCTCTGGTAAGAAGGAAGTTGCTTCACCCCATCACCAGAGAGAAGATGGGAGGTTTCCAAGGTGTCACGTAAATCCATTCTTATTTTAATTTCATTTTCCCTTGTTTTCAATGCTTCTCTGCCCTAGGGGGAAGAGGAAGTTCAAGAAACCCCCTGTGAGGTCTTGTATCGAGCAATGTTGTACAATCTCCCCCAGTACATGGTAAGCCCCTGCTCCTCAAAAGGCAGGAAGAGCTTTGGAGGAGGGAATGGTGCCAGTCTGGGAGCTCAGCACAGCAGGGCTGGGGTGTGTCCAGAACCTGGACAGTGAGATTTTGGTGGAATCCTGAGCAGAGATGGCAGGAAAGGACAGTCCAAGAGGAGGGATCCAGTGGATTCTGAGATGCTGATTAGGTCAGGTAGGGAGAGACAGAAATTGAAGTGCATTGAAACTCCAGGGGTTCCTTGTGTTGTTTTACCCACTCTACCAGAGCTCAGGCACAGGTGATGCCTCAGGTAAAAGATCAAACAGAGCTGCTGAGCTCCCCACACTCGCCCTGGCTGTCAGAGGAGTTGTGTGATGTGGTGAAACCCTGCAGAGCTGGCTTGGAGCTGTCCAGTTTTGACAAATGAAGAGAAGGAAGGAATTCCCTTTCCTGGAGCATCTCCCCACACGTGTCCTCTCCTGCAGATCGCTTTGCTGAAGATCCTCCTGGCTGCTGCACCCACCTCCAAGGCCAAGACTGACTCCATCAACATCCTGGCAGATGTGCTGCCTGAAGAGATGCCGTAAGTCAGGTGGCCACCAGCCATCCCAGCCTTGCCACCGAGCCTTGGGCCAGGCAGGAGAGCTGATAGGTGTGGGGAGCTCCAGATTTGGGATAAATTACTGTTGGCACCAGGGCAGAGCTGTCAAAGCCAAGGAAGTGATGCTGTGATGATGATTTGAGTGCAGCCACTCCAAGCTAAGGGACACAAATGATAAAATCCTGCTGATTGACCCAAATCATAAAGATGTGTCAGCAGAGAGGAGGGATCCTCCCTGCTGCTCCACCAGGATTCCTGCTGGAGGGCAATCCACCTTTTTCTTGGAAATCCACCTTTTTCTTGGTAATCCACCTTTTTCTTCCTCCTTTTTTACCACATTTTGGCATCACCAGGTAGGAGGGGTGGAAATGGGAGTCCTGGGGGCAGTGAAGGTTTGGTAGAGCTCACCCAGATGAACAAAACCCCACGGTGTCTTTGGCCTCCCTGCTGCCACACCCCCAGTGCTGTTTTTCCCTCCACCCCAGCATCACCGTCCTGCAGAGCATGAAGCTGGGCATCGATGTGAACAGACACAAGGAGATCATCGTGAAGAGCATCTCAGCCCTGCTGCTGCTGCTCCTCAAGCACTTCAAGCTGAACCACATCTACCAGGTGGGCCTAGAGGAGGGGATGGCCATTGCCAAGCTGGGCTTGAAGGCCCTGCTGAACCTTCTCCTGGAAGATTTCCAGGGAGAGATTCCATGAGGAGCTCTAATCACATTTCCATAACTCCAGGAATTTGTGCATTTGGGGATAACCCAGTGATGCTGTGCTTTGACAACATCACTTCTACTCACGTGGCAGGAGCTTTTAGGCTTCTGGGAATATCCATTCAGGTTAAATTTGGGAGACAGCCCGAGCCTCCCTGGCAGAAGGGGGAAGAGGAAAGGGGTTAGGCAAGATTCTCTTTTGCTCTGTCATCTCCAGTGCCCAGAAATAGTGCTGGGAAGGACCTCACGAGGCCACCTAATCTGGTTTTGGCAGGATCAGGTTCTTGGGGCTCCAGTTTCAACAGAGGCAGGAGATCTGGGTCATGGTTGCAATGTGATTTTTGTTCCTAATGTGATTTTTGTTCCATCTGCACGGCACTAATCAAACTGCACCCACTCCAGGGCTTTCCTTGGTTAAAAAAACCCAAGGACTAATATGAGCTGTGGCCCAGTTCCCCACTCATTCTGCAAATCAAACAATGAGTGTTTTCTCATTTTTTTTTCTGCTAAAGCTTTCAGCATGCTACAAATCCCTCTGCGTTACAAAACCCGCTGATATTGAACCGAGGATAAATTTAATTCCACCTATTGGATTGGGTAAAATGAAACCAACTCCCACATTTTTACAATCCTACATTTGTTCTGCTCCCCCCACCACATGCCTTCATTAATTTTTCTCACTTCAAAGCAGCTCCTCTCCTTTTTTCCCCCCAAGGCAGGAGGGCCATTGCAGCCTGCTGCTGAGCCTGGAGAAAGCTGCAGGGTTTCATCCCCCTGATTTTGCTTTTTTTTGTGTCTGATCTGGGTGGTTTTTGTACCTTTTGGTGACAAAAGTGGTCTCAGGAAGCACCATGAGAATTCCAGAAACGAAGGAATCACTGAAGCACGGAATGGTTTGGGTTGGAGGGGTCGATTACTCACAGCACATCCCAGTGCTGTGTCATCTGTGGAGTGCCAATGCTGACAGCTGGCACCAGCCTGAGATGGGAACAAACTGTTCCTTCCCTCTCCAACTGGAGATCTGGGTGGAGAGGCATGGGAAGGGCACGATGGGATAGGATTGGGTTTTGCTGCAGGACAGATCTGTTGTATTATTGGACTGTAGAATGGTTTGGGTTGCAAGGGACCTTGAAGACCATTTAATGCTTTGAGAGAGAGAGAAGTGACAAGCAAGTAGGAAAACAGGGATATTATTTCAGCCAAAATTTCTAAGGGAGCTGGGATTAGTGTGTGAGAGCAATAGGAATAATTGTATTTTCTCATGTAATAGCTCCAGCTCCTTCCCTCTTCCCCACACACAGTTTGGCCACAGATTTAATTTTGCCAAGCCACGAGGTGCAGCTATTCCTAAAGCACTGCTGTGAGGTTTGCATGTCCTCTCTATGGCAAATGCCATTTCCCAGCTGCTGTGCATGACACAAACCTTAGACAGCAAACTTCAGGGAGGAAATGGTGTGTGAGGTGTCTGGGGAAAACCATCCCAAATGCTTTTGGCTGGAAAGAGGTTTCCATTCCCAGCTGTCCCAGCTAACACTGACCTGTTTTCCCTTCTCTTCCCCAGTTTGAATATGTGTCCCAACACCTGGTGTTTGCCAACTGCATCCCACTGATCCTGAAATTCTTCAACCAGAACATCATGTCTTACATCACTGCCAAAAACAGGTACAGCCACTGCTGGGGGACAGAGAGCTGATGGGGCAGGAAGGCTTTGTCCTTGGGGAGCCCTGGGGGACCCAGGTGACCTCACACGGCTTTGGGGTGTCCTGTCCACTACAGAAATGTGTGGAGGGAGCAAATCCCCTTTGGCATGATGACTGGATGCTGGGTTTCCAATCTCTGGTTGGGCTGCTGAAATATAATTAAAATAAAATAGGCTTCATCTTTAAAATAAAGTGGTTTTCATCTTCACGTGGAGTCCTGGGGATCCATCCAGTGCCACCAGGCATCCCTGGGCCACAGCTTCATCAAGGCCAGATGGGGTGGGATCCTCCAGGTCTTCCTCACTTTTAATATCTATAATTCAGCTTTCCTGACTCCTTCAGGTTTCCCATACTTGCCACTGGCTTTTACTGCTGATCTGAGAGAGCCACCAGCCCCATTTTGAGCAGGGCACTGGCTGGGCCACCATGGATTAAAGAGACAGCACAGATCTTTCACAGCTCACCAGGGCAGGATTGCTCTGTTTGGAGAAGAGCTCCACGGGGATGTTGGAATGATAAAAAAAAAAAAAAAATCCTTTTTCTTCCTTTTTGATGCTCTTTTTGTTGCTCTTCAGCTGCATGTGTAGGCTGGTCTGTCTCCTGCACGGTATGGTTGTGTCTGTGTGAGGAGGCACACATGGAAAAATAAGAAGTAATATGTTGATCCTCCTGCTATAAATATTTCCCCTTTTGGTGCTGTGCTTTAAATGAGGAGGAGACGTATCCCAGGAACACTCAGCTCCCTCCCCTGCTCTGGGGTGGAGGTGTCACAGGCAGGATAAACACCTGTGAGTGAGGTGAGATGTGAAGCTGGATGCTCTGAGCCAGGGAGGTGCAAATTCCAGTTTTGGATGTGTTTAATTGACTACTTTTACAAATCCCATCGGCCTGGAGGAAAATCCTGATACTCTGAATATTCACTCACCGTGAATTTTCTCACTGCCAACCTTTGAAACCTCAGATCTATTTTGTTTACTTCCCCCCCCCCCTTTTTAAATATGCACATGAATAACTCATCTGTCCTGTCTTAATGGATCCAAATCCTTTGAGTCCTTGTTAATGCACTCAGGATGGAGCTTTGGAGCCAGGAGGCATCGATGTGCTCCATTAAGGCACTGCTGAGGCTGGGATCCCATTTGGATGCTGTCTGTGCTCCACGTGCTGGAGATGGGATTGCTCCCCACTCCAATTTCTTGTTGTAGGAAAAATGTTACAGATTCCTGGGCATGATCATATAGATCATCTTAAACATTTCTCTCCTGATAGTTGGTTCCTAATTTCTTCTTTCCTGTTTGCTGCAGCATCTCTGTCCTGGATTATCCACACTGCACAGTGTGTGACTTGCCTGAGCTCACAGCAGAAAGTTTGGTAAGCAGCACAGAAAGGGTTTTTGTGGCCAGGATTCCACAAGTCCTTCCAGCATGAGGAAGGATTTGGGTTTTCTATTCCCTGCCTTTTTCTTTTTTGTAACCCCCAACCTTTCCAAAATTAGACTTTTTTTTCCCCTCCAGACTTGAAAATTCGTCCCATCACTGTTCTGAGTCACTGTCAGCTGTGGGGAATTGGGGAAGAGTCACTGCTGGTGTTGGGCACCCCATAAAAATAGTTTGGCTTAGGGTTTTCCCTTTGACAGAACAGAATCACAGAATTTCAGGATTGCTGTGGTTGGAAAAGACCTCCAAGATCATCAAGTCCAGGCTTTGATCAAACACCACCTTGTCCCCAGAGCCCAGAACTCTGAATGCCACATCCAGGAATTCCTTGGACACCTCCAGGGATGGGAACTCCAAACCTCCCTGGGCACTTCCAATCCCTGAGGAAAGGTTCCATAAGGAATTCTTCCTGATGTCCAGCCTGAGCCTCTCCTGGCACAGTTGGAGGCTGTTTCCTCTTGTTCTCTCATGACAAGACTCTTCTGCTTTGAAAGAGAATTTACCCAGAGGCTGTTGCCTCCCAGCTTTCAATTGCTCTGAGCACTCCTGTTTTATGAGATACCAGTTTTTAAGGAATGAATTCTTTAAAAATTCCCTATGGAGAGGAGCCTCAAATATTCCAGAGCATGGATGGGCTGGGCAAACACACCGACTGCAGATGGGATAATAATGCTGGCAGGCTCATAACTGCAATAATTCAGGTGCAGGGGAGGTTGGACTCAGCACAGGGGAAAGCTTTGGGGTTAACAGGGAATAAATAATGGAGAATGGAGACCCTAAATCATTAAATAATGGACAGGGAATGGAGACCCTAAATGATGAAATAATGGACAGGGAATGGAGACTCTAAATCATTAAATGATGGACGGGGAATGGAGAGCCTAAATCATTAAATGATGGACGGGGAATGGAGACCCTAAATCATTAAATAGTGGATGAGGAATGGAGACCCTAAATCATGAAAAAGGATCCTGAGCAAACCCAGTCCGGGCAGGGATGATCTCATGGTGCTGCTGCAATCTGAGGCTCGTGTTGTTTTCCTTAGGTGTGTAAAAGTGGAAATTATCAGAAAGATTTTCCCCAGGTTCACGGGCTGCTGCAGGCTGGGTGTCCCCATGCAGCCCTGCAGATTCCATCCCATCCTGGACCGATGGGGACATCTAGTGACACATCACTGAGGGCTCCGTGGCTCGTGCTAATCCTCACAACCAGCCTTAAGGAGAAAAACTGAACGTTTTCAGGGAAAATATTCCCAGTAGGGTCTTGGCAATTTGAGAGCTGTCACATTCAAGGACAGCATTTTTCATTTTCCTCCAGCACACATGGATGTTACCCTCAAGGGAGAGCAATTTAATTAGAAAATGTGCAGAAACCAACTTGAATTTTACCATGAGAGCTCATCTTTGGGAGGATAGCCATGGGAGTAAGGATTTAATAGGAATCAGACACACCCTGGTACTCGAGGTGTACCTTTGTGCACGTTTTTAGATTTCTGCATTGTTTTAGGGTTTTTTTACCACTCTGCTGAGTGATTTTAACATCCCAGCCTAACACATTTCCTGGTGGATGTAACAGATGATTGTGCTCTCAGTGGCTTGAGCACAGGGATGTGTGTCTGGGTCATCCCAAGGAGAACCAGCTCTGCTGTCTCCCAGGGTGTAACTGGTGTAAATCAGGAGTGGCTGAGGTGGTGGGGGATTCACCCACCCTGTTGTGGGAAAGGTTCTTCAAATCCTGGCCAGTCCCCATGTCCCCTCTCCTGTCACTCTAGAGGGATCTGCAAAGGGCTCGAGCCACCCTTTAAAAGGGGTGTTAAAGTCTATTTAGCCTGTTCCATCAATCTGATGGAAAGACTCTCCCCTACTTGAATATCAGACTGGTGACAAATAAATCCATCAGCCTAAGGAATGGATACTGGCTTATTCCACTGGGATCTTTGGGAAAATTTCTTGGTGTAGAGGGTGCAGCTTGGGCCTGGGCACGATGTGACACTGCAGGGTCACTGCAGTCTGGGACCCCCAAAGCACCAGACAGCATCCATGAGCACCTCGGTGACATCCTGGTGACATCCTGGTGACATCCTGGTGACATCCCACCTCTGGATGCCTCTTGGGCACTGGAAGGGGCTGCCCAGAGAGGTTTGGAGTCCCCATCCCTGCAGGTGTCCAGGGAAGGCCTGGACATGGCACTCAGGGCTCTGGGCTGGGGACAAGGTGGGAATCAGGCACAGCTTGGACTGGGTGACCTTGGAGGTTTTTTTCCAGCCTCAGTGATTCCTTGATTCTGTTTGGCACTTGCCTTTAAAAGCAAAGGGGTTGTGCTGGTGGGATTTTCCTGGGTAAATCTGCTTTCAAAGCTGGATTGGACACTCTGACAGAAGGGGCTCCCCCAGACTCCTCCTGAGGGTGCCCAGATCCTGGAAGGAGTTGTGGTTTTGCCCCCAGTTAAGAAGGCTGTAGCTGGCTGTGAATGGTTTATAAATTCAGCAGCCCTTGTTTTGCACTAATCCCCAAACAGGATTTCTGTGGGACATTTCTCCTGTGCTTGGAGTTGTTCAAACATGGAGCAATTTACTGCAGTGGTGGAATTACTGCCCAAAGAGCCTCGGGCAGTATTTCCACAAACTGGAGCTGGGGGTGTTTACAGTTACCTAATATTTAAAACAATGTCTCAGCAGCACTTGGCTGGAGGGGATTTTTGTTACACAAAAGTTTGGTCCCCTCGATAGAAATGTTGCTATTTGTCATCCTGTGTGGATTTGTGATTTCCTTTTACTGGTCTGTAATGTGTGCTCTAAGCATGAATTCATTTATATAGTTACCAAAAACAGTGGTGATCAGCAGGCTGCAATTTGCTCTCTGGCTGTAAACAAAGAATACAAATCTACCACAAAATGTATTTCCCATGATGGAATAATGTGATTTATCCCATTGCTAGCTCTTACTCAAAAAGCAGATTAAAATTGGAGTGTTTCAGAGTGGTTTTCCCCAGAATCTGCTGCTGATAACCCAAGTGAGGAGGCAGCTCTGCTGCTTGTCCTCCCTCAGAAATAAGACTTGTGCAGACAATAAAAATAAAGATTTCTGCCCAAGGCCGTCTCTGTGGCAGTGCTGATGAACGCTGTGGTGAGGGTTGAACTTCTCCCCTTGCAGGAAGCTGGAGACAACAACCAGTTCTGCTGGAGGAATTTGTTCTCCTGCATTAACTTGCTGAGGATCCTCAACAAGCTGACTAAGTGGAAACACTCGAGGACAATGGTAAGGGGGTGTCCCCTCCCCCTGAGACCCTGCAGCATTTCCTGGAGCATGTCCCTGGCTCTGCACAGGGGGTTCAGCCCAGCCTTGTGCTCAGGAGTTTTTTGTGCAAGTGTTGGAGCTTCTGCTCTTCATCACCTTCCACACTGAGCCTTAAATGCAGAAATACTTTTTCTCCTGCAAATAACATCATTTCTGTGAGCCTCCAGCCCCGTGCAGAGAGTACTGGTTGTGTTGAATGCCCCATGTTGGAGTCAGTAAGTCAAAAGTTTCTCTGAATCCTTCAGAGGGAAATCAGATTCAATTAAAACCTTTGAATAAAGTGAAGTATGTTAAGCCACTCACACATAAGGCAGAAGTAAAAGTTTAGATTTAAGTATGAGTGAGCAAGCAAGTAAGTAAATAAAATGAATAAGTGAATAAATGAAGTAAGTAAGTGAGCAGATAGAGCAAGTAAGTAAAAAAATAAGTAGAATAAGTTTCAAGTGCTTTTTGTAAATAAAAGGTCTTAGGTGCCTGAAAAGCAGTACATGTTCTAGTGAAAGTTGAAAAACACACTGGTGTTTCCTTAGAGGCTCCAAGAACCCAGCTTCAGACATAATAAAGTTCAAAATATTGCTTACATTTCTCAGTTAGAACAAGATAGGCCATGAATGTAGTTTATACATAGCCTGGCTTGCTAAAAAAACTAAAATTCTAACATGTTAAGGAGTAGTGGTCTGAGTTTGTGTCTTAACTAGTTGGAAATTTTCTATAAAAGAACATGCATGAGGGAGAGCTGGTGCTCTATGCCATTACATTTTGCCATTGCTCTATGCCATTGCTTTTAATGCCATTGCTCTGCTTTGTTTTTGCCTTTGAGACTGATGTGCTCCTGCAATAAATAACTTTATAGCAACTATTAACATGCTCAGCTTTTAAAGATGACAAATAACCCAACAGTGTGAGTGCCCTAGAGCAGCCAGAGGTCAAAACCTCACACTTGGTGCCCCACTTGTAGGAGAAGTGGCCCAGGTGTTGGTGGCCACAAAAGCAGCACGGCCAGTGCTGGTGTGGCTCTGTGTGACTCACTGCTCGTTTCCTGGCAGATGCTGGTGGTGTTTAAATCAGCCCCGATCCTGAAGCGTGCCCTGAAGGTGAAGCAGGCCATGATGCAGCTCTACGTGCTCAAGCTGCTCAAAATCCAGACCAAGTACCTGGGCAGGCAGTGGAGGAAGAGCAACATGAAGACCATGTCAGCCATCTACCAGAAGGTTCGGCACCGCATGAACGACGACTGGGCCTATGGCAACGGTGAGTGCTGGCCGTGCTCGCCCCCTGCCTGCCTGTGCAAACCTGTGCAGCTGCTGAACAGAGAGGAAAGAAAGAAAAACACGCTGAAAGTTCATTAAAAACACTTCTGTGAGCTCTACGCTAAAAATTGCTATCAACCGTAAAATACCAGAGAGGGTTGAAGTGTTCCAAAGATACTTTACCCCCCAAAAATAAAAACAGAGAGGAATCTCTGTCCTGAGAATGAAGTATAAACAAAAAAAAAAGAGAAATGAAAAGAACTTTTGCTTTTAAACAGTTCATTCTTAAAAGTAAATACCCCATAAGTTTAACATAGCCCATGAACACAGTTTGAAAGAGCTGTGAAAATAGGAATTAGTGACAAGTAAAGCTACAAAAGAACTGTTTTTTTCTTCTTGTAGAAAAAAACCCTATAACCAAACAAAAAAGATACTTCTCTCTCTAAAGTAAACTAAAAAAGATTATTTAATTTAGTAACTAACTGAAGTGTTTCTGTATGTTGTTAGGAAAGTGTGGAAGGGGGAAGGAGGGGGTAGTCTAAAGGTTTTATTCTGAATTTATTATTTTCTTGGCATTGTTAATAAAGTTGTTTTTTTCCTTTACACCCTCTTAAGTTTTAAGCCTACCTTGCTTTTAAGTCTTAATTCTATCTCACAACAAAAAAATAAGTATATTAAAATTAACCAATCTAAACTATAACATTTATTAATACATTAACCAAATAAAATCAAGCTAAACCAAAACACAATCAGCTTTATTTGGTTTGCCCTAAAACCTTTAAAATTGGGGACTTTTTCAGAAGTTTTATGGCACCATCAGATTTAGAGCTCGTGAAAGCCAGCTTTGAAAACACTGGGATTTTTTTCATGTTGTGTGTTCAGATAATATGACATGTCATGGTTATTGCAGCTTTTCAATATCATTCATAGTTGCATTCGCCCAAATTTTAAAAAATTTGGGGTTAGGAGCTCATAATAAGTTTAACAGATTTTAAATGTTTTAAGTCTTGATCTCTGCTTCAGTGGAGATTTCCAGTAAAAGTAGTGGGGTCTTTGTGAAAAAAGCTGGGTAATTACAGAGAGTCCTTAAAGCAGGAATAATCACATTTTTACAGGTTATCTTAAACTAAAATGCACGCGTAATGGGATTTGGTTAGGAATAATTAGGAGTTAAGAGGTTAGGAGTGCCTTTGATGAATTCACGTGAAACCTCCAGCCTTTCTGAAGGTGTCAGAGTGGTGTTTCCTGCACTATTGTGGGTGTTGCTCCTCCTTCCCTGCAGACATCGACGCCAGGCCGTGGGATTTCCAGGCTGAGGAATGCACGCTGAGAGCCAACATCGAAGCCTTCAACAGCCGCAGGTACGACAAGGCACAGGAGTCAGAGTTCGCCCCGGTGGACAACTGCCTGCAGAGCGTGCTGGGCCAGCGCCTGGAGCTGCCCCACGACTTCCACTACTCGTACGAGCTGTGGCTGGAGCGGGAGGTGTTCTCACAGCCCATTCGCTGGGAGGAGCTGCTGCACTGCCACTGACAGCCCCGCTGCCGCCTCGCCCAGGGCTCCGCAGGGCACAGCTAGAGGGGGGGAAAAAAAAAAATTATTTCAACTTTCCAAAGAGAGCGACTCTCTGTGCCCTAGCACCTAGCACCTCTTTTTGGAGGTCGTCCTGTGACTGCTTGGGGACTGTAAAGTATCAGCAGGGGTCACGGGGCAGGTTGCAGAGTGAGCTCAGGTGTGGCTGGAGCGTGGTGTGAGGATTCCCAGCTGGGATGGGGACAACATTCCGTGCTGTCCCTGGGCTGTCCCTGTCCCTGCTGCTGCTGGGGGCCCACAGCCCAGCCCAGAGTCCTGCCCGGTCCCCTGGACACTCACCTGTCACCTCTAATTCCCTCCACCTTCACTCACCTTTGTTCAGCCTCGTGCTGTGCAGCGTTTGGGGGTCCCATTTCTCTCCCCACTGAGTGTCATTATGGTTCCACGTCCTCTTTAGCCCTTCCAGCCCTGAGGAGACAACAAACACCACGGTAAATAACTGAATTTTTAACACGGATTGTCTGGGGGAATGTCTGTGCCCTGAGAGGAAGTGCTTTGGTGAACAACTTATGAGGAAAAGAGTGGATTGTGTGGTCCCTAAATTTCAGAATGAATAGGGTATTGAGCTGTAAACTTTCTATCGTTTTAATAACTTAATAGTTAAATTAAATAATGAACAGTACTCTGGGGTAAAGCTGTGTTGCATGAGGGTGGCATTTATCAAAGCATCGTGTGTTCATATAGGGCAGGGAAGCCCTAAATAAACAAGTGTTTGTTATGGCAGGGTTTGTGCTAATTGCTTAAATAATTAATTAACATGGCAATGTTTCTTTCATGGGGTTTGTCCATGGAAATGGCATTAAACCTTTTAAAATATGCTTTTGTTCAAAATAAACCAACTTTTAAAGGACATCTCTTTATTTCAGCTTTTTCTTCCTTCTTAATTTAAATGCTTCTTTTTTATTATTTAAGGACAAAAACATCCCCAAACTCAGCCCTCACCCCTGCCCATCTCCACTCAAGGAGAAATTGAATTAATTACTAAAGAAACTAAGAAAACCCCTTGATATTTGGCTCAAATCTTTTTTTCTCCCACAATATGTTGAAAAGAAAAAAACAGTACATACCCAATGTGCATTTTTCTATATTTTGCATTTAAATTGTGCTTTCCAGTGCCTGTTATTTTTACTGAGAGAGATTAGAAACACAAATCCTCACCTGGGTGGTGGAGGATGGTACAAACTTATCGTGGATTACAATTTATTCAAACTATCACCACCAAATTTTCTGCTTCCCAGAGAGAGATCTCCACAGAAAACCTGAACCTCTGCATAGAAGAGTGACTTAGGGAGAGGCAACACCTTTATTTGAAATATTTATGTCCCATCCTGGCAAGCAAGCAGCAGTTTCAAACTTTTTTTTTTTTTTGCTTCACAGTGAGGATTTTCTCCTGCTTAAAAATTCTCAAAAGAGCTGGGGGACAGCAATGAAGGAATAATCATTTTATATGTTCAGCAAGGCAGTTTCAGAACAAAGTTTTGGGTGGTTTCTGCACATCTGGAGGAACATTTGTTATCTCACCTCAACAGGACTGTTGGTTCCAGGAACCCTCCAGTGTTCCTGTTGTAGTTGCAATAAAGAACTTTTTTTTTTGTTTGTTTTCACCCCACAGGTGGTTGCTGCAAGTTTTGCTGTGGGTAAGTCCTTTTCTTCAGCACCTCAGCACAGATTCTTCTGTTTCTTTGTCGATTCTTCCTCTTTCCTAGGGATGGAAAGCACAGAGAACTGAGTTCGTAATTTCTCAGTCTTCTCTAAGGTGCTTGGTGAATTTAATGCAAATTTCAGTGAGGGATAAAAGGGTACAAAGGTACAAAGTTCCTTGCAGAGTTGTGAAAGGAGAGAGTGATCCCAAAAAAAAAAAAAAGGGAAGGATTTGGCCTTTATCCATTCTGTTTGGCAGTGTTAAAAAAAGATATCCCTCTATTTTCTCCTGTGAATATTTCCATAAAAATAACAACACTGAGATGTCCTGGCTTATTCTGTATTTATCCTCTTGTAACCACAGAAGTGACTGTATGAGGTCAGGCTTATTATACTCTGGAATTCGAGAAGCTTCCCTAAATTATTTATCAAAGCTTTCAATGTGTAAACAGCAGCTTGTGCTGCAGCCAGGCCCAAGCACTGTCACAAAAACACAACATTTGATGATTTTTGTCCCCCTTGATTGAACATTTCAGTGCTCTGTGCCTTCCTTTTTGCCTCAACAATTATAACGTGGCCTCCTGACAGTTGTTTTTGCTAAAAGGAGATAATTAGTGTAATTACAATTGTTTCTTTTATGCCGAGCGGTTTGTTAATACAAATGACACAAAATTTTCCTGAACAGAGTGGAAATAATTTTTTTAAATTATTTTTTCTTTCATTATCCAAGACTCATTTAAGAGAACTTTACTCCCAAATGTGCAGACTTTTTTCCCGAGCCGCACTCCCAAGTCTTTTTATTAGGGAAAAGGAAGTTTCCTCATGCAGCAGAGAGCACATTTAGAGAGGTTAATGTTAAAGGTAAAAATAAATCATGATCTAGGCAGACTCGCTGATATGTTTGTTGGAGTAGTTTGGCAATACTGCAATTATGAGCTATTTCTTTTTCTATGAGGGAATTCAGCTCCTACTGATATTTTTCACTTGTGCCTATTTTTTTAGTGCTTTACAAGGGAAAATCTGGTGCTGAAGGATGCAGGAGAGACTCCACTCTCCCATATTTTTTTCCCAAATTTAAAAACCACCCCATATTTAGAAACATTACTACCCTTGGATAAAATTGTTGTGTCTAAAAAAGGTGCAGAGAACAAAATGAACTTTTCATGTCTCTATCCCTCCCTCAGACTCCTCCACCTCCATAGATTCCCTGTGTCTCAGGCCTGGGTTTATGAGGATTTATTGGAAATATCTAACCTCCATTACAAGTCATTTTCAGCACCTGCTGTCCAGTGGCTCTGGAAGGAGGCAAAGCAGAGGTTGTTTTTAAAATATTTTTGTGGTGAAGGAGGCTGAGTCAGGTATTTTAAACAGAGACTCCCCCGTGTCACGCAGCGATAACGTGAATATTCCACTAATAGCCACCACACGCCAATCTTTCCAAGACCTTTGGAAAGCACGACTCGCTCCCCTCCTCCTCTCAGCTCCAAGTTGTTGTGATGGGGGTTTTCTCGCCTCTTGGTGACATTTCCCTGGGGATTTTAAGCTGTGGGCGGGACAAGGGCGGTGATGGCGGCGCCCGCCCCCCTCAGGGCCCTCAGAGCTTTTCCCGCCCTTTTCCCCGTGACGGCGGCAGAGGCGGGAAGCGCGTGGGCACCGCCCTCCTCGGCAGCTGATTGGACAAGGAGCGGGCGATTCGGCAGCTGATTGGACGGATGGCTGTCAATCATATACAGACTCCGCCCATTGTTGCTATGACAACGAGACGCTGAGGGGAAGGCGGGGAGGCCGTGGCGGCTCTGAGGGGAAAGAGAGGCCGCGGGGATGTGGGGAAGGGAAGGTGAGATTCTGTCATTTCTACACGGGGATGTGGGGA